ATTTGCATAAATGATTTGGAAGGAGGTAGTCAAAGTAGTATATTTATTTAACGCTTAAGTTACCTGGGTACTCATTTCCCCCTTTAATGGTGCACATGTACATATGCACGCCCATATGAAAACCTATCCTCAGAAAGCCACTTTATATGTAGAAGAAAAATGGTCAGTCAGAATAGAAATGTCTGGTTGCAATTCATATAATATGATTCTAGCTATCTCCCACCTATGCCACCAGTTCTGTCTGAAGGGGCAATTAAATGAAGAGGGAAAGAAGCAAATGAAGGCTGAGGGTAGAGTGGGATTTGCTTCAGAGATAAAATAGAATGGGATCACATTACTTCACAGTTGTTGATAGCTACAGGATTCTGAGTCCCTGTAGTTAAACCATTTGACAGTGGATGGTTGTGAAGAGATAGGGGATATGAAAACACGCTAATCGGACAGAAAATATTTAGTGATTATATTCATGAATATCAACAGTGGGAGCAAGAGTCAGCAGGTCATAGAAGAATCTTCCTTTTGATTCATCATAAAGTTTCCTGGTCAGTATTAAGAGAATTCTATTTTATTGTTGTTCCAAAGAAAGAGAATATCACATGAATCTCTGCAGGTTGGTGAAGATACAGAAAGACCATTTATATAGTTGAAGCTATATGCAAATTTGATTACCCTAGAGGTGAAAGATATCCATAAATGTTAACCTAGGGGTTTATAGAGGCAGGAAAAAAAATTGGTTTATTTGGAATATTCAGGGTGACTAGGAAGGGAAGAAAGGTAAGGAAGTAAACCAAGCTTAAGTTCAATAGCTATTTCAGTCAATCAATATTTTCTCAAAAACAGCCAAGATTGTATTAATAGCATAAAAGACCTGGATGATGTCACAATGAAATTCACTCATCTTTGTATCTGACATTGCAAATTCTTTCCTTTCTCCACTCTGACTTTCAAAATTATGTACTTCACCAAATGAAAGGAAGCAAAATTTATATAGCTATAGTTAACATGAAATATGACTTACGGACACTGAAGTGTTCACAGCCTGTCAACTTATCAATAGCTTTGTAGGCCTCCTCTGTCTTCAGCATTTCCTCTTGCCTTCTTTTACTTTCTGGATCATTATTCAAAATCTTGTTCTTCAGCCAGCTGAGATGGTACACCCGAAGTCTGTTCTTATGGCCTGATAAATAAGAAAAAATATAGTATTTCAATTCAGTCTATCTTTCTTTTCATATATTATAAGAACAAAAAAGTGAAGGTATTTTGCCTTTTTAACCAAATATTTTCATTAAAGTAAAAAGTTAACACATTAGCTGCCATATGAGTTGTATTCAACTCATGCTAGTTTTGAGCCCGGGGACCTCACGAAGCATATGTAACTCACCTCTCTTCACCTTGGGAGCCGTGAGAACTATTTTTCAAGTTGCATATAACTCATGCACAGAAAACAATAAAAAATAACAAATTTTTTGTTACATTAGAAAGGATCATTTTATTTTTGAAGTTTTTATCCTATTTTCATAATAAAACACTGTGGCCCCAAGGAAAAAAATTTATTTTCCAGTGTGGCAGTCAATGTGTTAAAAAAGTACATTGCATCAGAATCTTCCCTTCAGAGTTTGGAAATGTGATAATAAAGTCTATCTTAATCTGTCACTTCAAAGAGATAGTCAAAGTCTTTACCAGCTATCTATGTACCTGGCTTAAGTGGATCTAAAATAATTCTTTGGGACAGGATAAGACAGCCACCATGCAGGCAAGAGAATTACAAATCTATTCATTCATACCTTGGCTTTTCATTAAGTCATGACTCCTCTGAGGTGCAGAGTCCTAGAAGCTGTCGCCAGTAGTGTGTGTGTTTGAGAGGGATGTCTGAGTATGGACTGTTTAGGCATTCAGGGCCAGCAGAATGGGTCTTTTTATGTTCTGTCTTTGCAGCATGCTTATAAAATAGTTGAATAGTTTTGTTATGTTTTTCCTCAACCCAATTTATCTTTTACATTAATTTCCTAATTGCAAATCCCATCAAATTCTTACAATTCAGATAGAAAACACAGGCCATCAAAATCACACATTTCTCTTCCTATCTGGTGGCCTTATATTCCTTTTTCTCTGTCACTTCTAGGGTTTATTATTTCAAGATTTCTAGGCCCAACAATAGGATTCTTATTTAGGTGATTGATATGCTTTTACATAACATTTTTGAAGCAGTACTAGGATTCAGATATCTATGTCTACGACCATTCTTTTCTTAAGCGGTAAAGTAAATTTGTGCTTCAAACTATTAAGCATCCTCCTATATTGAGGTTCTCAGTACTATTTGATGCAAAAATAATCCACATTTGAGAGAAGCTCGAGTATTAAAGAAGGGCACATTTGGGTTACAGAAAGTTGGATAAAAAGTAAAAAGTCTGTTATTCAGATATATAGTCTCTAAGCCACCCAGATGTTTTCAAAAAAATAAATATTACTCCTGTGTGCCTCAATTATAAACCAATTACCATAAAACATGATAAAAAAAATTCATGAAGTCTGAGCATATGCCTGTAAAGGGTTTTCTCCTATAACCAAAACTTAATGCAAAGTTAATCATTTTAGGAATATACATCATTAGTGTGCAATATGGCAATCTGCACACAAATTATACATATAGATTATATTTTTATAAAAACATATAAACTCATATAAATGACTGTGATTAGCATCATTTTATTCAATCACCAAACTGTATTATTTTTTTTTCCTCTCCTTTTGTCTCCTTTGTCCTCATCTTTTGTCTCTAGTCAGCTTTAATACTAGTGCTTTCCTGATACTAAGCCCTGCTTAGTAATCATGATCACTTTTAACACTCACTTATTTGATCTCTGGTATTCAACGGTTCAGGCTCTGACTGATCAAAACTAAGAAATTTAACTACGGTGTGGGAAAAGTGTAGAAGTCTTTAGGGGATCCATTCTTGTTACTAACTCTATCTGTAGGCCCTTACGATAAGGCTGTTCCAGGGACAAGTCTCTTTTTAATCTGATTATTGTACACGTTGTTCTTCGTTCCTTGTAACACAACACAAGAAAGTTATTTGGTGGATGTTGGTGTGATCTTGTGTGTATGAATGAATGAGAATTAGAGCTATGAAGTTCTAGGAGGCTATTCTGGAAAGAACCTGCAAGGATGCAAATGGTGTGTTTTTTTCCCATCACTGACCTAGGTCAGGTTCATTACAATCAAAGGAAGTTAGTTTAAATTGTAACTAGATAAGAAAATACAAGTAGGAAAATCTGGTGGTGTCCCAATTAAAGGTTATATTTAAGGTGTTCTCCTACGAACACTTTCACCTGAGAAAGTCTTTAACCCAGTTTGCAGCCTAATTAATCTGCATAATTACTCAGCTAATTTTAGTTCTGAAACAAACCTGAGATGGTAATCAGCAAATTGAGTGGCTCTACAACTTGAATCTGGCGGAATGGTCTTCGCTTTATAAGTTTAGTAATGTTTGCCTTCCCGCTTCTGTCCATCAGATACAGATTAGATCGGGTTCCCAACAGCAAATTGACTCCTGTTCATACATAAAAAGAAAAGTGCTATATTAGCTCAGATTATTTTTTGTAACTGCATTTATGTTACTATTTTTGCTATTCTGGTGTGCTGATCTATGTAAAGGTGACTTATTATAGGCTAATGCTAACCATGGACTTTACCAACAGAATAAATTTCATTTTAATACATGAAAATATAGAAGATAATTTCCTCTAGCAATATTCCACTGGCTGGTTTCTGGTGTGCCATCTCACCAATAGGACTTTATATATATCTTTTTACATACCCTTTAGAAGTGGCCCAAATTTTATCAAAATGAATCAACCTTTTTGAAAATTACCATTAAACATCCTTTGTCTAACACATACAAAGAGATCAATCCATTCAGTTCATTTCTCATTTCTAACCATAACTAAAGATTTTAACGCTTTGGAGATAACTGTATGGAAATAACTGTTTTTAAATTGGATGATTCTATGTTCACACATACATTAAAATTTTTACAGTTCCTAACCTACATGTATCTAAATTTACACATTCTCTTTTATTTGTTGGCTGGCTCTGTTGTTCAAATTTAAGCACAAAGACCAAATAAGAGAACTGAAACAGAAGATAAAACTAAGATTAAATTACAATTCAAACTACTGTGGCAGCTTTTCCCCATAAAGTGACATAGGAAATAATCAGCCAAGTAATGTAACAGAGGAGAAAACTTTAGTCTTCATTTCACTTGGAGGCTACTTGTGCTCTGAGGGTATAAGGAGAAAAGACAAGTGCTTCTGCTTGCTTTCATTTTCCCACTCTATCCTTTACCAGTTCTCTAATTCATGGCCAATGGCAGGTTTAGAAACTGCACCTTCTTCTCACAAGGGAATCAGGGAGGGAGGGCAAAGTATAGTCATTTTTTAATTAAAATCTTTCATTTTTCAAAATATAAAATCACAAGTTATAAAGACCAGTTATTAGACATTAACTACATTTCTGGGTAGTTGCCTGACTGAAATATTTATGCTTTCTTGTTGTCTGGTACATGAAATTAGCAAAAATTTGAGATGATATATTTTTCCTAAAGAATCCATATTATTATAATCTCTGCTACCCTGTTCTATTTTTAATTTAAAACTCTGTCCCTTGTTTCCTCAAACATTAAGCAAAATCTATGAAATTGCAAGTCAGAGGTTGGCATTTACTTTGGATTTCTGCATCCTTGCATTCATTTATTCTGTTTCATTTATGATTCAGACTGGCTTCGGGTAAAATATTGTCTCAGCATTACCTATGTGGTTATAATTCTTATGAAACAAATGACTGAAAAAAAGTCTATCAAAGTTGAGACATTATATTAATAGAGCAAACTTTACAAATTTTCAAGACTTTCAAAAACATGATTCTGCAGAAATGTTTCTTGTAATACCTTATTAGGTATCATATGCTGAACACTACCCTAAATTAAAAATACTAAGCTTAACTTTTCAAATAACCATAACCTAATCCAGTTTTATATGTTAGCCAAGTTAATTCAGGTTAAAAAACATGGAATAAAAAGGTGGGGACACCAATTCAAATATCAAACTGCACTGAGTGAAAAAAAAATCAGCAAAACCAATTCTGAGCAAATTAATGTAAATACATTTTTATTTGAATTAATGATTTTGTAATAGTAAACAAATGTTTTATGTCTATGATTTTCATAGAAACCTATGAAACCTGCATAGATGAAAATATATTCTTTGAAAAAACAACTCAGTTTTAGGAAATCAAACTCACCCCACAAAGAACCACAGCAGATTTCAGAAGTAAATTCTTTCTCGTACATGTGGATTAGTGGTTTCTTACACTCAGTGGACACATAAATTGGGTTAACATTGACTTCAGAGGGTTGCTTAGGTGATTCCTCAGGCAATTCCTCGAATCCAGAACATACTGCAAAGAAATAAGGGGAAGATACTGAGAGAAACTTCTAGTCTGTACCGTATGTGCTTGAGTGTTTCTACAATTGAGACATAGCTTAGACAAACTCCTTTTCCTTCATTGTATTTAATTTTCATTTATTATATCAGTAATTTCTAAACCATCAGATAACACAAATTCTGATGGTTAAAATACATTGCCGAATACAAACATATTTTAAGTTACTGTGATTAGAACACACAAAAAAATACAGATAAGGGACTCAGTTTCTCAATTGTAGCTCAAATTTAGGTACCATAAATATCCAGCAAAGAGTCGACATTTTAAAAGCATATATCAACCTGAATTTTTGTCAACTAAATATCAGAATGATTTGATTCCTATCTGAGCGTGAACCAGTGGTTAAATACTATTTAATATGTGAATAGATAGCAGCATTTAGAGATTATATTAAGCACACTCACAGATGGCACTGGCAAAGTCAGCATCAGTAACCCTCCCAGAACCTTTGGAAGGAGACGAATGGAAGGCAGAAAAATCTGATTGTGTTGATAATTCTAATATGTCCTTATTGTCATTTCCATCATCAAGTGCTGCACTTGAGGCCTCACTTCTACCACCTGACTCCTAAAAGAAGATTGAAAACCAATTTTTATTTTATTAGGAGGTTGGCAGTGGGAGAAATATTCCTAGGGGTCATTTGAAAAAGAGAGTGCAAGATTTGTAATATCTACATTCTTATAAAATCCACATTTACTAGAAAAACTCAACAATTTCATCAGAAGAGACAGAACTAACCTATTACTGAGACCACTGATATCAGAGGAAAAATGCAAGGAACTTTAAGTCCCTATCTGTACAATGTGGGGCCTAACATTTGTGGAATTTTTACCATGTACCAAGTATTATGTTAGGTATCTTATTTACTTATCTTCATGAATCCTTATCATAACCCAACAAATAAGTATAATTATCTACAATTTACTTATAAGGAAACTAAAGTTTAGAAAAGTTAAATAATTTATTCAAGGTAATAGTACTAGTAAGTAGGGGAACCTGAGTTTGAAGCTAAAGCCTGTTTGATTCCAAAGCATACATTCACCTATGCTATGCCAAACAGCCTCTTGAAAAACTAAAAGGCACAGTGTGGGGGTATCTGTTCCACTGCTTTAAGGTACCTTCACAAAACTGGGAGCATGAAAAACCTGCAGGGAGAATTTTCAAATGACAGAGCAAATGATGGAAAATCAACCAACACAAATTCAAGAGTGTCAACATGCCTCACTGAAAACCTACCCTGCTTCTATTAACTTATAGTAAAGATACTCAAAGATAAAAGCCACAAAAAGTGATGATTTATGTGGAATGCCTTATCCTGTGGGAAAACATACCAACTATTTTTTATAAGCTTGTATGATGATAAGATCTTTGTGTCTAAACAGTGATTCTTGGCCCCAAGAGAGTTGTGCAGCCCCATCAAAGACTGGTTTGTATGACCTTTCTAACCACAAGAGCCTGGTATGGCAGCATGTCCTTTTTAAATTAAAATGAAAGGATGATCCATTCACTCTGCAGATTTCTAAAACATTTCTTAAGATAACTGGAGATATCCAGGGTTGCTATGAAACCTATGTTGGGACATTCTGTTTTAATGCCTTTAATTAAGACAGATAGACAGATAGATAGATAAATAGAGATAGATATTTTCCCACTGATATTGCTTTCCCATTGGAAATTATTTAGGGAATGTCCTTCTACCTTTTTTCTTCCTTTATTGATTTCTTTCATAATTATTGTACACCTGTCATAGGCCATGTCCTAGGTTAGACACTGAGGTTGAGTGAGTTGGAAGAAAAATAATTAGGGGTGGATTAGATAGAGTTTATTCCTTTTAAGAGTTCATAATCTAGTGTAGTAGACAAACAAATACACAAATAACTAAACTACAATGTCCTAAATGGAACTGTGGGCAAAATGTTTGCAAGCACAGTGGAAGGGGTTTATAATTCTGCCTTGGAAAGTCAAAGATGATACTTGAGTTGGATCATGAAGGATGACTAATTCACTAAGTAGAGATGAGGTGAAGGGGCAGCCTTCCAGACAGAGGGAACAGCTTGTACAAGGAACACTAATGAAAGAGCATGGCATCTTCAAAGCCAGTTTGTGTGAAAGGACAATAGGCTAGAAAAGTAGATCGGCATGATCTTTCCCCTGTCTGGAGTTCCACCTGTGTTTTCAGATATTCAGATACTCCCCATTTCTCAAGAATTAGTTCAAATACCACATGCTCCAGGAAATCTTCTCTGTGACAATTCCTATTGATTTAGCATCTGTGAGCTACTTGAGTATTTTAAACCTATTTATAAAGTCAATAAACATTTTGTGAATGACAAAATCATTGTCTAAACAGAGTATATTACTTCAATTAAAATTGTACATGTGAACAGTTTCTGAAAAAGTTAAGCATACTTACTACATGACACAGCAATGCCACTCCTAGGTATATACACAGAAGAACTGAAGGCAGGGACTCAGATACTTGTACACCAATGTTTACAGCAGAATTATTTTCAATAACCAAAAGGTGGATAGAACTCAAGTTCCCATCAACAGATGAATGGACAAAGAAAATGTGGTATACATAAGGTGGAATATTATTCAGCCTTAAGAAGGAATGAAATTTTGATACATGCTACAACATGTATAAACTTTGAAAACATGCTAAGTGAAATAAGAGAGACATAAAAAGACAAATATTGTACGATTACACTTGTACAAGATATCTAAACAGAAAGGAGAATAGAGGTTACCAGGGGCTGGCAGAGGGGAAATTGGGAGTTGATTGTTTAATTGCTTGGGATGATAAAAAGTTCTGGACATGGATAGTGGTGATGGTTGCAGAACATTGTGAATGTACTAAATGCAACTGATTTGTACACTTAAAATGGTTGAAATGGTAAATTTTATGTTATGTGTATTTTACTGCAATAAAATAAAAACTTCCCAGAAACAAAAAATTGGCTCTTCTTGGAGTGACTTCAACAAGATAGCTGATTAGAATTGACTGGTGCTTGTCCCTCTTACAAAAATGGACCAAAATAATGAATAAGCAATTAAAATTTGACCGAAGTGTCTGAGGGAGAGCATTGGAGCGCAGTGAGAAAGTGGCAAGGTCTCTGTATAGCATGGAGTCCAGGATGCAGTATAGGGAGGGGAGCGAGGAGCCTTGCTTTTGTTGTCCCATCTCCCCCACCAGGATCAGCCTGGAGCCAAGAGGGACTTCTCCTTTTGGGGAAAAGGTAAGCAGAAGTCCTCCATCAACCCTCATTGCCATAACAAACACTTGAAGTCCTTACTACGGGAGAATCCCACAGTCCTCAAGCCCTAAGCCCAGTATGGGAAGGTTCCTGAAATTCACGTGGCTGCATTGCTCCAGATTAAGAGCAAAATTTATGTACTTCACCCCCCACAATGACCCAAGCTGATGTGGCCTGGTGCCATATTGAAACTGGAGCCACTGCTGGGGTGCACTGTGCTCTCAGGGCCAGAAGACACTGTGATAACTTTTCAGTAACAACTTCTCAAAAAAGGAAACACATAAAATTCCAGAAAAATTCAAAATAATGATCTTAAAGAAACTTGGTGAGTTACAAGGGAACACAGATAGTCAATTCAATTAAATGAGGAAACAATTCGTGATCTGAATGAGAAGTTCAACAAAGGGATAGATATCATAAAAAAGAGCAAAACAAAAACCTTAGAGCTGAAAAATTCAATGAATGAAATAATAAATACCATTGAGAGCTTCATCAACTGACAAGACCAAACAGAAGAAAGGATTTCTGAACTTGAAGACAAGAGTTTTGAAATAATGCAGGCAGACCAAAAATATATATATTAAAAAAATTTAAAAACAATGCAGAAATCCTACATGATTTATAGGAAACCATTAACATAATAAATTTTGACATGATGATAGTTCCAGAAAAAGAAATGAAAAAAGCAGTAGAAAACTTTTTAAATGAAATAATAGCCAGAAACTTCCCAAGTCTTGGGAGAGATATTAACATTAAGATCCAGGAAGCTCAAAGATTACCAAATATATTCAACTTACATGTTGGCTTCTTGGCCTAGGGGTGTGATTCTTGCTTTGAGTGGCAAATATATTGACCCTAAAAAAGTCTTTTCCAAGGCACATTATAATAAAACTGTCAAAAATCAAAGACAAAGAGAAAATTCTAAAAACAGCAAGAGAATAGCATCCAGTCACATATAAAGGAATTTCCATTAGATTAACAGCAGATTTCTCAGCAGAAACCTTACAGGGCAGGAGAGAATGAAATGATATATTTAAAGTGGCGAAAAAAGTCTGCAAGCCAAAAATACTATACTCAGCAAAGCCATCCTTCAGAAATGAAGGAGAAAAAAAGTCATTTCCATACAAGCAAATATTAAGGACTTCATTACCACTAGACAAGCCTTTCAAGAAATGCTTAGGGGAGTCCTACATCTGAAAGCAAAAAAACAATAACTATCATCATGAAAACATGTGAAATTATAAAATAAACCAGTAGAACAGATACAGAAAGGAGAAAAAGGAATCAGACCTTATCACTACAGAAAACCACCTTAACCATAAAGTTAAACAATAAGAGAGGAAGAAAGGAAGAAAGGATATACAAAACAACCAGAATACTATTAATTAAATGACAGGAGAAAGTACTCACCTATAGATAATAACCTTGAATGTAAATGGATTAAATTCTATAATTAATACATAACAGATTGGATGAACAGATAAAAAAAAAAAACAAGAGTTAACTATATGCTGCCTACAAGAAATTCACTTCACTTGTAAAGACACACAGACTTAAAATGTAAGTATGGAAAAAGACATTCTATGCAAACAGAAACCAAAAGCAAGGAGGAGTAGCTCTACTTATATCAGATAAAACCCATGTTAAGTCAAAAAATGTAAAAAAGAGACAAAGAAGGAGATTATATGATGATAAAGTGATCAATTCAGCAAGAGGATATAATAATTATAAATGTATTTGCATCCAACACCAGAATACCAGATATATAAAGTGAATATTATTAGATCTAAAGAGAAGATAGACTCCAACACAATAATACTTGTGGTCTTCAACTCTCAACTTTCAGCATTGGGCAGATCATCTAAACAGAACATCAACAAAGAAACACTGGATCGGAACTGCATCATAGATCAAATGGACCTAACAGACATTTGAAGAACATTTCATCTAATAGCTGCCGAATATACATTCTTTTCATCAGCACATGGAACATTCTCCAGAAGTGACCATATGTCAGGACACAAAATAAGTCTCAAAAAATTTTTAAAATTGAAATCATATCAAGTATCTTTTTTTTTTACCAAAATGGAATAAAACTAGAAATCATTAACCAGAGGAACATTCAAAGCTATATAAATACATGAAAATTAAACAACATGCTCCTCAACAACTAATGGGTCAATGAAGAAATTAAGAAGGAAATTTAAAAATTCATTGAAACAAACGAATACAGAAACACAACATACCAAAACTTATGGGATACAGAAAAAGCAGTATCAGAGAAAAGTTTGTGGCGTTAGATGACTACATCAAAAAAGTAGAAAGATTTCAAATAAACATGATGCATCTCAAGGAAATAGAAAAGCAAGAAAAAAAAAACTGAACTCAAAATTAGTAGAAGGAAATAATAAAGATCAGAGCACAAATAAACAAAATTAAGACTAAAAAGTCAATACAAAACATCAAAAAAAGGAAAAGTTGGTTTTATTAAAAGATAAATTGACAAACCATTAGGTAGAATAACTAGGGAAAAAGGAGAAGACCCAAATAAATAAAGAAATCAGAAACAAAAAAAGAGACATCACAACTGATATCACAAAAACACAAAGAGTCATTAGAGACTATTATGAACAATGATACGCTGACAAATTGGAAAACCCAGAGGAAATGGATAAATTCCTAGATATATGAAACCTCTCAATATTGAACCAGGAAGAAATACAAAACCTAAACAGACTAATAATGAGTAATGAGATTGAATAATGAGTAAAGAGTCTCCCAACAAAGAAAAGCCAAAAACTGGATGGCTTCATTGCCAAATTCTCCAAAATGTGTAAAGAAGAAGTAATACCAATTCTTCTCAAACTATTTGAAAAATGTGAAGGGAAGGGAATTCTTCTGAACTCATTCTACAAGGGTAGCATGATACCAAAACTAAATAAGGACACAACAAAAAAAGAAAACTACAGGCCATTACCTCTAATGAACATAGATGCAAAAATCCTCAACAAAATACTAGCAAACCAAATATAATAGCATATCAAAAATATTATACAACATGATTGAGTGATATTTATTCCAAGAATGCAAGAGTGGTTCAAAATATGAAAATCAATAAATGTGATACATCACATCAACAGAATGAAGGACAAAACCACATGATCATCTCAAGAGATGCAGAAAAAACATTTGATAAAATTCAACATTCCTTTGTGATAATAATTCCTAACAAATTATGTATAGAAAGAATGTATGTCAACACAATAAAGGCCATATATTTCAAACTCACAGCAACCATCACATTGAATGGGGAAAAGCTGAAAGCCTTTTCTCTAAGAACTTGGATGAGACAAGGATGCCCACTCTCACCACTCTTATCCAACATAGTACTGGAAATCCTAGGCAATTAGACAAGAGAAAAACAAAAAGAATAATCAACTTGAAAATGAGGAAGTCAAATTGTCTCTGAAAATGACATAATCTTATATACAGAAAAATATAAAAACTCCACCAAAAACTCTTAGAACTGATAAACAAATCCAGTAAAGTGGCAGAATATAGATCAATATACAAGAATCAGTAGCATTTCTATACACAACAACAAACTAGATAAAAAAAGAAATCATGAAAGCAATTGTATATGCAATAGCTACCAAAAAATAAAATACCTATAAATAAATTTAACTAAGGAGGTGAACGATCGCACAAGGAAAACTACAAAACACTGATGAAGGAAACCGAAAAGGACACAAAAAGGGAAAGGCATCCTGTGTTCATGGACTAGAGGAATTAATATTGTTAAAATGACCATATTACCCCAAGTGATCTACAGCTTCAATGAAATCCCTATGAAAATACAATGAACTCCTTCACAGAAATAGAAAACATTACCCTAAAATTCATATGGAACCACAAAATACCCCAAATAGCCAAAGCAATCCTAAGCCAAAAGAACAAAGCAGGAGGCATCACACTACCAGATTTACTGGTACATACTACCAAACATACTACAGAACTATAGTAACCAAAACAGCACGGTAGTGGCACAAAAACAGACACACAGACCGATGGAATAGAATAAAGAACCTAGAAATAAACCCACATATTTATAGCTAATTGATTTTTGACAAAGGCACCAAAAATATTCATTGGGGAAAAAATCATTCTCTTCAATAAAGGATGCTAGGAAAACTGGATACCCATATGCAGAAGAATGACACTTAAACCCTATCTCTCACCTTATATAAAAATGAACTCAAAATGGATTAAAGACTTAAATGTAAGACCCGAAACTATAAAACCACTATAGGAAAACATACGGGAAATGTTTCAGGACATTGGTCTGTGTCTGGGAAAATATTTTATGAATAGAATTTCAAAAGCACAGGCAACAAAAGCAAAAATAAACAAATGGGATTATATCAAGCTACAAAGTGTATGCACAGGAAAGGAAACAATTAACAGAGTGAAGAGACAACCTGCAGAATGAGAGAAATTTTTTGTAAACTATTCTTCCAACAAGGGATTACAATACAGAATATACAAGGAACTCAAAAACAACCCAACAGAAAAAAAAAGGAAATAATCTGATTTAAAAATGGGCAAATGATCTGAATAGACATTTCTTAAAGGAAGACATACAAATGGCCAAAAAATATATGAAAAAATGTTCAACACATCACTAATCATTAGGGAAAAACAAATCAAAACCACAATGAGATATCATCTCACCCCAGTTAGAATGGCCATTATCAAGTCAAAAACGTAACAAATGTTGGTGAGGATGTGGAAAAAAGGGAACTCTTACGTATTGTTGGTAGGAATGTAAATTAGTTGGTAGGAATGGAGAACAGTATTGTGGTTCCCCAAACAGCTACAAATAGAACTACCATATGATCCAGCAGTTCTACTACTGGGTATATATATATGAAGCAAAGGAAATCAGTAAGTTGAAGAGACATCAGCATCCCATGTTTATTGCAGCGCTATTCACAATAGCCAAGATAAGGAATCAGCTCGTGTCCATCAACAGACAAATGGATAAAGAAAATGTGGCTTTTATACATAATGGAATACTATTCAGCCATAAAATGTAATGAAATCTTGTCATTTGGAGCAACATGGATGAGCCTAGAGAGCATTATTTGAGTGAAATAAGCCAGGGACTGAAAGATAAATACATGTTCTCACTTACATGCAGAAGCGAAAAAATTTACCTCATATAAGTAAAGAGTAGAGTAGTGGTAATCAGAGCCCCAGGAGGGGATAGGGAGAGTGTGTTTAAAGGACACAAAATTACAGCTAAATAGGAGGAACCGTAGTTAACAATAATTTATTATATATTTTCAAATAGCTAGAAGAGAGGATTTTGAATGTTCCCATCACAAATAAATGATAAATATTTGAAGTAATGGGTATACTATAATAAATACCCTGATTTAATCACTATACATTGTATGTTCTGAAATATCCCTCTGTAACCCATAAATATGTAATTATGTGCCAATTAAAATTTTTAAAAATATTTTTTTAAATTGTACGTGTTAAGAGACTCTACCTCAAATGTAATCTGAGTAATAAAGGCAAACAAATAAGAGATTTTTGTTCCTAGAAATAAATGGGAAACATCCAAATTAGAAGTAGTAAAGATCTACCTATACATCTATAATTAAAAATATTTGCAGCTTTGGGGTATAAGGATAAAATATATTTGGAATGGCTGGAAATGCTACATGTCACATGAAGAAACACATTCACAACAAGAGGAGTTCAGACTCCTTTGTGCATTACCTCCTGTTGATGTTCAAAGTCCCAGGATGCAAGTCTCTCCAATCCTGGACGGGCTGTCTCTGAGCAATTTTCTCTTCTATTCAGTTCAAGTGCTCCGCTCTCTTCATTGGTTCCAGTGACTCCCTTACCTCCATTACCCCTGCTGCTTCTTCTTCCACTGCCTATACCGGCTTCATGTCCTTCCTGGTCTCCAATGGTTGCACTGCCCCCAGTGGCTGCACTTCCTCCATAGCTTCTATTGGCTTTATGGTTTTTATAGACTCTGTAGACTTCTTTTCCATTACTTCCATCACTACTGTCTTGCTTCCAGCGTCCATCTCGGCCATAGCTTGCCCTGACAACAAGCTCCAATTAATGAAAGAAAGCCGCCCAATAAAAACACATTTGAAAGTTAGTAAGTAAATGTAACTGAATTACGATGTGCCTTACATATATATCTACCATATCCAGACATGTCTTTGCTATGTGGCTACATGTGAACACTATTGGTATGATATAGACAATAAAAATGCCCCAATGGCCTGTCAACCTTAAATACTGAATTAATACCATAGCTGATGTCAATTTTCTGGCTGCATTTGAATGGCAGAGGGAAGAGAACTTGCATTCTTTGTTAGGCATACGTGTTAGGTTAGTAGCAAGAATATGCATTTTTTTCCTTAAATAATAAGACTACTTCATGCATTAGCAACTTCATAGCGACATGAATGATCAAGCTTACATGTTAAGCTCAACCACAACACATTTAAATAATTCTTCCTGCAATATATCTAGTTTGTGTTAATTTTAACAGCTGCCCTGATTTTCTAACATGTGTATTGACTGTTTTGCTATAGAATCCCATTGGTCTAATAGTTCACCAACAAGTTCAGTAATACAGACCTCATATCTTATAAAACTATGATAGTCATTTAATTAGTTGCTAAAATTTTCAAGCTTAATAAAATGTCTCAATGCTCTCTTTTCGCATAAGAGACATTAAACAAATGTGCCTGTGGCAATTCTAAAAGTAAATTTATTTGACAGCAGAATTCTTGGTAGATTTTTCAGTTGGAAAAAAAACCAAAAGAGCTCTTGATAACTTCTCCATCAATTAACCAGATAAATATTATCTTAAATTTATTATATACATGGTAGTATCTTAACTGTTGGAGAAAAGCATAGCTATGTTTGCAAATACCAGAGCTTCATCTTACAGTTATTAAGTAGTACACTTCCTTTGTTGCCCCACTTCTCACTATCACTGTGGTTTTATAGGGTAAGATGATTCAGAGACATTAATTTTAACAGAAACATCTACACAATTCCAGTTACTAAAAAACTAATAAATATTAATACTTGAATGCTAATTTTAAAAGTACACAAATAATGCAAAATTAGATGCTCTACATTGGAACAACTTAAAATCTATTATTAAAAATCAAACCATTTAGCAATAAGCAAGTGAAATTTATCCACCCTCTTGGTAGTAAATTTTGAAAACAAACCAAAGATTCAAATAGTTCTCAAGTTATAAAACATGGATAGTATAAGTAATTCATAAAAACCAACCTTGGCCAACTAGGCACATCATCACGATTATTGTCTGTGTCATCGGCAGAATCATCATTGTTGTCATCATCATCATAGTCTTTACAGACAGCATTAGCCTGATAAACCTGGTTATCCAAGTCATCACTGCCATTGGCAAGGTCATAGTTATCTTCATAAGCATCATGAGTATCATCATTGTTATCACCATCAGTATCAGCACCGGCATCATAGAGTTCAACATAATCACCATCCTCTTCAGGTGGCCGAATGACAGGTGCGGGAGTTAACCAATCATTCCGGAAGATTTCAGAGAGTGCATTATAGCCTACCCATTCATTTGTCAAGTATACGGGGGGTGATATTTTTCCAACTTTACATCCATTTGGAACCTATGTGCACAAGAAAGGTTAATGTAGTCTAAAGAAGCCTTTCATTTTCTACTAGACTGGAAAATTTCCAAGCTGACAACATTTTAAAATACATTTTCAATTGAAACAAAAATATTCACTCACTAGATAGAGCCAATATTTTAGTGAGGATGAGATGCTAAAACTCAAACGTCAGGCTGAGATTATTAGTGGCCTTTCTGGATCACACAGGACAAAATTTACTCACTTTTTTTTTATTACCCCTACTTGTGCTGAGGAGTAGACATTTGTCTTTGATGCTGGAAAGTAGAACAGGTGATTTGATGCTCTACAAATACAGTCACTTTTTCCTTTTACTTTATCCCCTGACATTGGGATTAACACATAGCTCTTGAAATTGGTATGTTAATTTCCCAGCTCTGAATTTACATGTTGCAGTTGTTTTAAAGCATTTTAAATGCTTCTAAAAGGCAAATTAATATTAATCTACCTTTTAAGCCTTGTAAGTACCATATGTGTTATGTAACTCTTGGGCAACCTAGAAGGGATGTGTGTATGGTAGCATAAGGGTAATTACAAAATAAAATAGAATGATCTGAAAGCACACTGCAAAAAGAGTTGGAAAACTTTTTTAAATTATGCAATCAGTATACATTTTATTTTTTACTAAATGTCTTATTTTTATACATTGCCTCATCACCAAGGAATGCTATTAAACAAAAATTGTACATCTAACCTCGTAATCTGAGATTAGCTTTTACAAATAGCTTTTTGCCACTCCTCTCTGAAATATGTTCTGATTGACACAAAAAAGTGAAAATCAAATATTGGCTGATTGGTTAAGGGTTTTCAATTTTAATTTCTAGATTTTGTATTCTGTATGCTCACATAGCAAGGGGAATCTACCTTTAAAAGATTAATTAAAAAAACTCTAAACTCTTTAACTTTTCCTTCCTTTAGTGAAGATGAGAATGTGTAAGTCAAAACAAATGGAAAAGTGAAAAGAATGGCCATAAATGTGTTAAGATGGAAACCTACATGGATGTCAATCAGCAACTTCTGATCAATAGTAGAATAAGGTGGTGATGACTGAAATCTCCTCCTGGTCACAGGACTCTCTTCCTCAGAAGAAGATTCTATGGAATGCCAAAAATACATTAATAACAGCGGTAATTACAGCCATTGCCTTCATTTGTATAGTGTACTAGTTCAATCCCTTGTTATTTTTCTTGTAGCCTCTGTGATTTTATTCAGGAAATATCACCTGACAAATTCTCACAGGGCCAGGATCCTGAATTGTGTTTTCAGTGGTAGTAGTAGGCTCAAATTTTGTTCCAGCTGTAGACCTACATGGCTATTCCGTTTTGAGTAGTAAGTGTACCCTTGCTAAATATTTCTCTCCACCTGTGTAAGAAGATACACAGTATGAATGGTAGCCAGGTAGATCCATTATTTTTAAATGTGCCAAGAATAGAAAGGGCTGGCCTCACATACTAACCAATAGAAAAAGAGCCCAACAGTGCATTAGGAGATAATAGGCTATCCAAAACTCTCAAAATGAGAGTTGACTCTGAAATCTCAACCCCCCGATTTCTATCAAGTGATATATCCTGATGTATTTCAATACAGTTAAGGAGTGAACTACTGAAAAGAGATAAAACTTATATCTTTTTATATAGCTGGGAACTTTTCTATAACAGTGAAATACAACAGAACTTTCTGCAGTGATGAAAATGTTCTGTATCCACACTGTCCAATACAGTAGCCACTAGTCACACATGACTGTTGAGCATTTGAAATGTGGCCAGTGTGTCTGAGAAATAGACTTTTTAATTTTATTTACTTTTCATTTTAGCTTACATTTCAATAGCCACATGTGGCTAGTTGCTACCATATTAGACAGCTCAATTCTATAGTGTAAATATTTCTATTTAAAATACAAATTTATCTGGTTTGGAAATCCAGATTTTAATATTGAGTTGTGGTATAGTAAACAACACCTGTGGTTGAAATCCAGTAAGAATATTTAACAGGATCAAATATCAGATCTTAGTGAGTGTACTTAGAAAAAGCTTCACTACAGGAACAGTCATGTCCCTGTTTATTATTTTTGTGTGCTTGGATTTTAAAGACTACTGCCTTTCTTTTACTTTCAGTCTTGGTATACATAGCCAAAGTATAGACACTACAATTCCAAAAAGCATGTATTTGTAAGACTGCTGTCTTTTAAGAACATTTCCCTGAACACATGCCAAAATTTGTGTCCTCATCTTCTGGTACTGTTGTATTTTTGCTGTTTATTATTTTTCTGCAGGAAACCATTTCTCTGAAGTCTTTTGGTGTGTTAGCAGACCAAATAAGAAGTCCGGGTAAATGTTTTGAGATTTTGAGACAAATCTGTAGCAAGGTGCTCTGATATCATGGTCCTTTCATCTCATGGGAATATCAAATAGCACAAACAATAAAACAAAAGAATTTTGGAACTGAAGAGATGTAAGATGCTTAGCTATTATCTGCACAGATGCTATCCCCCTTCTATCGCCCATCAATGTTCATGACTGCTTTGGAGCCTAATCCAGAATTTCCTTATTTCCAAAATGAAACATGACTAAACCTTAAATTTTTAGTTGTTTGCCCAGTATTAGCAAAATCAGCCCAAGTCAAACCAGAAGAAAAAGATTCTGGGGGAAAAATTTCTAAATTTACTCTTTACTTAGGCTTATCTTATTTCTCACAACATAGTATTTGTGCATGAGGGGACACTACTATTTAAAAAAAATTCTGCCATTATGTAAGTCTCTTAGGAAGAATTTTTTTTTTTTTTTTTTTTTTT